ATATACGCTAATGTTGTAACTTGTGAAGTTTGTGCTTCAAGAACATTATGTGATCCGGAACGTTAACGTCTCAGTTAATATACGCTAATGTTGTAACTTGTGAAGTTTGTGCTTCAAGAACATTATGTGATCCGGAACGTTAACGTCTCAGTTAATATACGCTAATGTTGTAACCTGTGAAGTTTGTGCTTCAAGAACATTATGTGATCCGGAACGTTAACGTCTCAGTTAATATACGCTAATGTTGTAACTTGTGAAGTTTGTGCTTCAAGAACGTTATGTGATCCGGAACGTTAACGTCTCAGTTAATATACGCTAATATTGTAACTTGTATAGTTTGTGCTTCAAGAACATTATGTGATCCGGAACGTAAACGTCTCAGCTAATATACGCTAATATTATAACATGTGCTTCAAGAACATTATGTGCTCCGGGACATTAATATCCCAGTTAATATACGCTAATATTGTAACTTGTATAGTTTGTGCTTCAAGAACATTATGTGATCCGGAACGTTAACGTCTCAGTTAATATACGCTAATATTGTAACTTGTATAGTTTGTGCTTCAAGAACGTTATGTGATCCGGAACGTTAACGTCCCAGTTAATATACGCTAATATTGTAACTTGTATAGTTTGGGCTTCAAGAACATTATGTGATACGGAACATTAATAACCCAGTTAATATACGCTAATATTATAACATGTGCTTCAAGAACATTATGTGATCTGCAACGTTAACGTCTCAGTTAATATACGCTAATATTGTAACTTGTATAGTTTGGGCTTCAAGAACATTATGTGATCTGGAACGTTAACGTCTCAGTTAATACACGCTAATATTGTAACTTGTATAGTTTGGGCTTCAAGAACATTATGTGATCCGGAACATTAATATCCCAGTTAATATACACTAATATTGTAACTTGTGCTTCAAGAACATTATGTGATCTGGAACGTTAACGTCTCAGTTAATATACGCTAATATTGTAACTTGTATAGTTTGTGCTTCAAGAACATTATGTGATCTGGAACGTTAACGTCTCAGTTAATATACGCTAATA